GCGTGCAAGTCCGCATCCTCACCTGGGCGCGGATATGTGCCTTGGAAGTTCATGGTGAACTGTTGGCACAAATCCTCCCAAGAGTGGACAGACGCGGGTGGCAAGTTCATTAGCCAACCCCGCGCCTGTCCTTTCAGGGCCATGGGAAAGAAATTAGCCATGACCCTGTCGTCACCCCCGGCGGCCTCGATCCCGGTCGTGTAGACCTGGAGAAACTCGGCGGGGTTGACGCTCCCGTCATATTTTTCGGCGATGGTGGGCCGGAACCTTGGGGGCCAACGGACATTCCGAAGGCTCGCCACAAAGGCTCTACAGCCGACACCACCAACCGGGGGCACGGAGGGCTGATCCCCGCGTCCGTGGTGAGGTGACACTCCGGACGAGGAGGCGCCCTCCGTTGCGTGGGGAGCACGTCGGCCATTACGCCGGCGCTCGATACTGATGCGGGCATCCGGTTCCCCACGCAGATCTTCCCGGGTCGAAAGCGTTGACGAAGGAGGGGCGGCCGAATGGCGAACAGCGGCTGCCGCTCGCCGCGCCCTCCGTCTTGACGACGCGGAGCCGGTGGTAGCAGCACCAGAGGCCTTGGTGGCGGAGGACCGCCCACCAGCATCTAGGCGCTGCCGTGCAGTCATGACCAATTTGGCCACATCGTCCAGCCAACGTTGGGCTGGAGACTCCGGGTCATGGGCGACGGGCGGGTGACATAGGAGCGCGCCCGCAGCTTGGAGCGCGCCCTGGGGCGTGCTGCCGTCGCCGTAGACGAGGAGGCGACGCTCCCTATCTCGCCGCCCTTCTCCACCTCCTGTGGGTATCGAAGTCGCGGATCCTTCGGCCCTCTCGAGCGCCTTCTCCCGCCTAGGACTTTGGCGTGGAGGGGGCGGTGGAGTACGAGCTCGACGGCGTGGGTTTGGCTCCCCGTCGTCACCGCTCATACTCGGGGAGAGGTCGTGCGCCTTTGCTGGCTCGGCCATTGGGCTGAACAGGAAAAGCTTGGCGCACACGAAAGAGTGCGAGAGCTCAGAAAATCCCTCGCAGAGCCCCCTACCTGGCGCGCCAGATGACGGAGCGTGGGGCTCCTCACCGGGAGACCGCGCAGGCCCCCCTTTGCCGGTTCGGCCGGGGACTCAAGGTGAGATTCTAAGCTCTCTGTATGTGGAAGGTTCGCGAGACAGGAAACACACAAGACACGGGCGATGTATACAGGTTCGGGCCGCTGAGAAGCGTAATACCCTACTCCTGTGTTTTGGGAGATCTGTGTATGAAGGAGCTACAAAGTATGAGCCAGCCTCTCCCTTGTTCTGGGTTTCCAATCTGGAAAAGTCCAGTCCCCCATCTCAGTGGGCAAGGTCCTCCTTTTATATCTTAAGGGGATACCACATGCACCCTTTCTCTCTTTTTTGTGGGGACTTACCCCACCTTTTCATAAATGGACGGAAATTTGTATAGTTGCCATCCGAGTCACCTTCTGATGAGACGGCCCACAACTACCTCCACTTTCGCCGGGAGCAGGTGCGACGTGGAATCGTGGCTGTCTGCTGACGACATGACCGGTGTTAGACCAGTCACGTCGGTCATTCTTGTCCACCACGTGTCAGCTTAGCAATCTACATGTTCGCCCTTCTTCACACAACATCTTGCATGTAATGGTTAGGATGAAGCCTGGCATATATCTGACCAGGACTAACGTGCCATCTCTGGGAGGTAACACGCTAGCTCCAGCTGGGGACGAGCGCCTAGAAGCCCTCATCCTGACGGGATGGGGCGAGGCGTGCGTCAGATCGCCTGTCGCCACCTAACCCGCGATCTGACCAGTCTGTGACCGGTCACAGACCGGATAAACGAGTGCACTGCACTGCGTTACATGCGGCGTGACACGCTCAGCCAAACCGCAATAAATGTGGTTAGGTGAGCCCCACTGTGCTCACCTAACCCATACACGCGGAGCAAAAACCCACGAGGGGTCGGGGCGCCTCGGCCCTCGGGGCCGAGGCGGGTGCGGCCCGACCCCCTCGGGGGGACTAAGAGGAGGGCGAACACATCACCCTCGGGCCCGACGTCCCTCGGGGGTGCCAAGCCACGTGTGCGATTGTGTCTGCCTTAAACCTCTAGTCATGATACTCCTGATCCCATGTCACCGACACAGGCCAGTTTGCAAATGGCACCGTTTGAAGCATTGTACAGACGGAAATGCCGCACTCCGCTTTTCTGGGATCAAACTAGAGAACGTCAACTGTTTGGGACATAAGTGCTAACCAAAGCAGAGGAGAAAGTTAGGACCGGCAGGGAAAGACTGCGAATCGCCCAGTCTCGGAAGAAGAGTTATGCTGACAACCGCCGAAGAGAAGTCACTTTCGAAGCAGGAGATTATGTGTACCTTCGTGTCACTCCGCTTCGGGGAGTCCACCGCTTCCAGACCAAAGGAAAGTTGGCACCACGCTTTGTGGGACCATACAGGATTTTGGAACACAGAGGTGAAGTTGCTTATCAGTTTAAGCTTCCATCTAATATGGCTGGTATCCACGATGTGTTTCACGTGTCTCAACTGAAGAAGTGTTTGAGGGTACCCGAGGAACAAGCTAGCTCAGAGCAAATCGACATTCAGGAAGATCTGACATATGCGGAGAAGCCGATTCGTATCCTCGAAACCAGTGAGAGAAGGACCAGAAACAAGGTGATCAGGTTTTGCAAAGTTCAGTGGAGCCACCACTCAGAAGAAGAGGCAACCTGGGAAAGAGAAGATGAGTTGAAGGCTGCCCATCCGCACCTCTTCGCCAGCTCTTCCGAATCTCGGGGTCGAGATTCCATTTAAGGGGGGTAGGTTTGTCACGCCCTGAAGTTCTTCTTCCTAGCAAAAATCCAATTGATAAATTATTTTAAGAAATTATTTGTTTAAAGGCAAGAGAGAAACCCTAAATTAATAAATGCAAATAATAATCGGAATCGGCATGTGGATTTTTTCTTGGATCTACATGTCAAAATATGCTAACAGGATTTTTAGTGGAAAAACCTTTTTTCCTTTTTCTTCTTTTCTTTTTCCCTTTTTCCTTTGTTGGGCCGTCGGCCCACTCCTTCCGCGCGCCCGCCCTCCTCTCAGCTGGGCCGGCCCAAGCCGCCTCCCTCCTCTCCCCGGGTCACCAACAGGTGGGGCCCACCTGTCGGCCCTGTCTTCCTCCTCCGGCAACCGCCACCACCGCCGCCAAAACCGTCACGCCACCGCCGCTTTCCCCGCTCCTCCCGCGCCCACTCTGCGCCCCACGCCTCTCCCCACGTCGCCGCCCACGTCCCGCCATTTCCCGCCCTCGCGCGCACCCGAGAATGGGCGGGATTCGATTTGAATCCTCTCCCCACTCTCTCTCCCCACCTCTCCCACGTCGGCGAGAAATCCGGCTGCCTCCCGGCCTCGTCCGCCCCTCCTGAGCCCATATAAACCATCCCCGCACTCCCCTCCACCTTTTTCCTCTTTCCGCCGCTCCCTCCCGTGCCCTCCATCACTCCCGCGCCGCTACACCCATCGCCGCCGCCCTCCAGCCGTGCTCCGGCCGCCGCTAGCCGCTGCTAGGCGCCGTGCGGAGCCTCACCGTCGACGCTGCCGCGCTCACCATCCCGCGAGCCGCCGCGTCCGCTGTCCGCCCGGCCAAACCCGTCGCCGGAGCCCGCATCTCCTCGCACTCCGGTGAGCTTCCACCATTACCTTCACCTCCGGCCGGCTATGCCGTGCGCCGTGGACTCCCTCTCTCCCTCTAACCTATCTCATCGTGTTCCCTAGGTCTCTCCCGATGCCGCCCGCTATTCGCCGACCTCCCTCGTCGCTCGCCGCCCTCGTTCATCGTCGGTGAGGCCCTCCCCTTCCTCTCCTCTCTCTCCGCCGCTCGCCGCTTGCGCGCCGACGCCGCGTCGCGGTGCCGTGTCGCTGCGGTGCCGCCGCTAGCCGCGGTGCCGTCGCGCGCCGCCGCTTGCCGTTGGTCGCCGCCGGTTGCCGTCGCCGGCAACCGCGCATGCCGCCGCCGCTCGCCACGCTTGGCCGGCCAGCCGGCTCTAAAGCCGAGCCGAGCCGACCGGGCGCCTCGCCCCTCCCCCTTGTGACGCTGCCCGGTGGGGCCCACCGGTCGGCACCTCTCCCTTTCCCCTTGAGTCAATGACCCGTGGGTCCCATCTGTCGGCGCCGCTTTCCCCTTGTGCTGACGTCAGCCCTGGGATGAGTTATTGCGCAATAAATTGATTAAGGGTTTTTCTTTTATAGTAAAAGCACAGAGAATCTTCTAAAAATCATAACTAATTCATCCGAGCTCCGATTAAGCCCATTCAAGTCTCAGTAAATTCATAAAAATGTATAGAATCCATTAAAAATGGTTTTGTTTACTGTTTCAGTAGTCTTATAGCATGTTTTGCTTGTGTGCTTTGTTTGTCGCGTAGATTTTGGCCGTTTCGTCGATCCGCGGTTTCTCGAAGACGTTGTTGTGGTCTCATCAATGCGAGAGCAAGGCAAGTCATGCATTACAATTGATCATATTGTACCCCAATTTACAAATGTCCCGCATTTCTATTAAATGTTGCATCGTTTTACAATATCATGTGGGATGGATCCTATTACTCAGCTATATGTTGTCTCCCTTACGCCATTGATAACTTGGGTATTAAAATGACTAGATGTTGGTTTAGGAGATGCTTAACCATGCTTAGTTCAACTAGTACACAAAAGGGGAATCACATTAATGCATAGACTTTGACTTTTGGCATAGCTTTGGATTAGTGCCACTGCATTGGTGTTGGTTAACTAAAATACACTACATGGTGGGCTGTGGGTGCATGGTTTTGCTAGTTGTGCCCATGGCGATTAAGGACCGGTTCACGGGAAACCCTGGAAGAATTTATCGTGCTTACCACAAGCCAGCATGGGCAACGGCTGGGCTTGTAGTGTAGCTTTCCTCTAGCCGACGTACCTAGGCGAGGGTGGACGTGATGGAGTTGGGTCGGCCAGGGTGTCCGGTTGATCGGCTTCCGGATTCACCGCGGCACGAAAGGGGGGCTGCCCGTTGCCTGCTGGGGACGGGTATTATCTGATTTTTGTCACCAAGCGCCGCCAAATTGGTTGCATTTGTGGGCATCCTATTTACTGTATAGATGAGAGCCAGATGATAACCATTCCACACTCATCTGTGCAGACAGATGTTGCAACCTCTAAGAATGAGCTAAGGTGATTCTTCATTTGCCTTCTTTAACGTTTCTTTGTTCATTCATTTCCTCATCTTTTCTGTGCTCCTTTACAGTTTCAACTTGTGGGTACTCGTATAAATTTATTTAACTTAAGGAAATATTAACAAGTACAAGAAACTTCTGGCTAGTGTTGATCTCACCAAGGATTTCTTCTATAGCTACACATACCCCATTATGCAGAGCCTGCAGCAGAATGTTACTTCTGCAGGGATGAAGGAAATGCCTTATGAAAATTTATTTGTCTGGAATACTTTCCTGACACAACCGATTCGGTCAAGGTGCCGCAATACTCCCTGGACAGTAGCACTGGTCCATGGGCATTTCAAGCAGGTTATGTCCAACAAACAATCCACAATTTGGTTTTGCCACTATTCTTGTTTCTGGTGTATACTTCTGCAAAACAGATAACTCATACTATTTAGAGCTTTACGTACTCCCTTGATCATTCCAAGAATGCGTTTGCTTCAAAATGCCTGGGAACTGGGAATTTATCTGTAGAGTCATTCTAGTTATAATGTGGATACCAGATACCGAATACCTACTTATTTACCAGAGTAGATTGCATTCGAAATGAAACGCTTGGAGCTTTATCTGCAAAGTCCTACTAACTTATATTCCTATTTCCCATTTGTTGGAGTAGAACGCTAGGTGAGTTTTGGTATAAGAAAAAAGGTACCACTACGATTTCAATTCCAAAGTTCATTTTCATCAGTATTTTTTTTAAAAAAATCCAACCCATAATAAGAAAAAGGTGCAACTACTATGATGTTGGACCAAGTCTTTGTTGTCATCATATGTCTGTTCCTTACTAACTGTAACTATTATTACTTGAAAACTAAAGGCTTTGGGAGTTGGAAATTGTTGCTTGGTTGATGACTGATGACTGATGAGTGTTGATACTGTAGAGTACTTATTTAGCTTATCTATATTTCTGCCAAAATTATATCTCCCAACTTTCATCTGACCTGTGCAAATATTCATAAATAAATATGCTACAACTATTTTTGAAATTATGCGTACTACAAACTAGCATAATGTATTTTCCATTTGATTTTCCAGGTCAAGCTGTCAATATTTGGCAGGGAGCTAAATGTTGTTCTCATTTCTAGAAGATCACGGCATTTTGCAGGGACACGGTAGGTTGTATGTGCTTTAAGATTTCTGGAAGCCCTTCTATTTGGCGTGTGCTCAGCTCAGTCCATTATGCATACTTGCATCCTCACCCATTGACCTTTTTATTTGATTGCTGTTGACTAATGACAACTTGTGTAAGATTTTGTTTTCATGAATTCATGCTTTACTTTTAAATCAACGCTTGGTGCTCCTCTACTATTTGTTTCCTTACTTTGTGACTGAAACCAAGAAAAATATTGTCTATGCTTTGTTAGTACTCCCTCCGTTTCATAATGTAAGACTTTCTAGCATTGTCTATATTCATATTGATGTTAATGAATCTAGGTATATGCGTGTCTAGATTCATTAACATTTATATGAATGTGGACAATGCTAGAAAGTCTTACATTATAAAACGGAGGAAGTAGTATCTTAGTTTTATTCAATTTGAAATTTTACTACCTTTCTGATGATACCTGTAGGTATTTGAAAAGAGGCGTGAATGACCATGGAAAAGTTGCTAACGATGTTGAAACTGAGCAAATAGTCTTTGAGGAGGAAGCTGGTTCCTGGAAGGGAAGAATGAGTGCAGTAGTACAGATGCGGGGATCGATCCCTCTCTTTTGGTGGCAGGAGGCTGGCCGACTTAGTCCTAAGCCTGATATTATTGGTAAATAGAGTTTTTTTTAAAAAGAAATATCTTGTGACATCTAACATGAAGCCAACTTACCTGGTTTGATTGGAGAATATTCATAAATCAATTCTGTCAAAAAAATATTTATATATGAAAACCAAATTTCCTATCTGACCATGCTTCTATTAGACCTACATGTCAAGCAAACACTCTGAATTTTAACTATTAGACGCTTGTTCAATCTCCTCTGATATGCTTCTAAAATATGGGCATATATAAAATTTCTTGAGAAATCTTAAATTTGTATGTTTCTGCAGTGCAGAGATATGATCCTACATATGAAGCAACTAAGTTACATTTTGATGATGTCGCTCAGCGCTATGGGCATCCTATCATAATACTTAATTTAACAAAGGTATTTGATTTCTTCTTGATTTTGGGATCTCAGCGTGAGTATTCTGTTGCCCTTCCATCTTAAATATGAGACTGATGAACTGAATTGAATAGTTGATCATTGTACACTTTAATTGTTCCATTTTTCCTGAATAAGTCTCATTTGGTCATGATCAATTTGTCGAGGTACAGTGTTGTTTAATCAGTTGTTTCTATATCCAATCTATTGATTTTATGTTTCAATATATTGCTCATCAAGTTTCTTTGTGCTATTTGTGTAGATTTTTGAGAAAAGGCCCCGAGAGATGATGCTCAGGCGTGAATATTTTAACGCAGTTGGATATCTTAATCAAAATGTCCCAGAGGAGAAGAAATTGAGATTCATCCACTGGGATTTCCATAAATTTGCAAAAAGGTTTACATTGGTTCTTGATAAATTCCAAATTTGCTTGAGTTAGCGTGTGTTTCATATGCTAATGGTTCTCCATCTCTTTTTTCAGTAAGTCTGCAAATGTTCTGGGTGTTTTAGGAGGAGGTGCTAGTGAAGCACTGGATCTCACTGGATTTTACTACAATGGAAAGCCAAAAGTTCAAAAGAAAAGGTCAACACAGCTTAGTAGAACTACCTGTTGGCAACTTTTTTGACAAGTTGACAAGCACGATCGCAGCACCTTAAGCCTTGCGGTGATCCTAGAGTCGCCAACCACCTCGATCTAGCAAAAAGCTAAACCTAGATGGGTTTTGATAACTAAACCGGCTAGCGGAGCCGATTTCTAGATAGCTACCCGTCTCGTGGGCAAAACGGAAGGTTTTCAGGACAAACCTACAAAGAGATGTCGCGCTCTCATAGCGGCGGCAGACGGTTTACGGTGCAAACCGACAAAGATGGACAAACTAAGAGAAAACTAAAAGCAATATGAAAAACGATTCGATTGATTGATTGTAGATTGATTTTTTACAATGAACCGGCCATGTCCCTTATATAGGGGTTAGTCTTGCCCTCTACAGGCCCTCCTCCACATCCAACTCGGGGTAGAAACCAAAGGAAACCCGAAACATGCCTTCCCAAGCAAGGAAACTTCGAGACCCGACGAAACAGAGTCGGACTCAGACCTGCCGGTTAGACCGGCCACACACCGCCGGTCTGACCGACCCTCAACCAGCGGTCTGACCGCCCAACACACGGCGGTCAGATCGGCCCACTTCGGAGGAAACCGGTAGACTTCCAAATTTTGGCAATATTTCCTATTTTAATCCTAGGTGCCAAATTTGGGTGTAAACACTACCACCGCAAGGTACCAATATTTCATTAAGTTTACGAGTTCATGTAAAATAAATCTCACTCTCTCTCTCTCTTTTAACCTGGGTGATTTCGATGGCCAAATATAACAAAATTTGTTTTCTACCAAATTCCGGTCGGTTAATGTCCGGTCGGTCTGTTCTTTTGCCAATTGATAAAAATTGCAGAAATTCAAATTTGAAATTTTACAGATTGAGATCACCCCTCACTCTGCCAGTGTTCTGGTTACTGCTTGGATTTTATCCTGGCATTCACACACTAGTGTCATAATTGTGGTAGTAAAAAGGCCAACATCAGTAGCTCACAACCAGTAGTGTTAGCACCTTACAAGTGTTACGAATCCAGCAATTTGATGGTATTGCTGCATGGTCCAACTGTAGGTGCGTGGTAAGTTAGATTTGCTTGTGTAAAGTGAGTTGTGCAGTGGTGCTAATGTATAATTCTTATTGAGCCAAACATTCTTTTAACTAAAAGGAGAATCCAAAAAATAGTACCTCAATGTAATCCTTTTACACAGTGAGAACTGAAGTGTAAGCCTGCCACATGAGCTTAGGGTGTCAGATAATGCCATACTTGCTGTGGCGTCCAACTGTCCAAATTATGTTCAAAATTAGAAGTGCACATTTTGTGTTCAAAATCAATATGTTATGAGCTGACGATATTTCCCATATTTCTTTTCACAGGGATGGTTCCATTGATACAAGAGCTAGTTCTGGAGACCTTCCAAGGCTTTCGAGTAATGCAGATTCACTTGGTCCCACTGCTTCTCAAGATATAAGAAAAGATGACAGCAAACAAGAACTTCTTGGTGATGGTCCTTGTTATCAAACTGGAGTTCTTCGTACGAATTGCATGGATTGCCTGGATCGTACAAACGTTGCTCAGTATGCTTACGGCCTTGCTGCTTTGGGAAGGCAGCTTCATGCAATGGGAGCGACTAATGTTTCAAAAATCCACCCAGATAGCAGCATTGCTTCAGCTTTAATGGATTTGTACCAGAGCATGGGTGATGCACTTGTAGGATCGAATCACAAGAACTAAGCCAACCAGAGGAGGGGTGAATGGTTGGTATACCCAAAAACCGAAAACTTTTAGCGGAAATAAAAGTTACCCTCGAAATCGACGGAGATCGGTCTGACCGAGATTGATCTGCCGGTCTGACCGAGTGGATGCCGCCGGTCTGACCGGTGTTGAATCTCCGGTCTGACCGGTGTTGAATCTCCGGTCTGACCGCCAAAGCTGCTCGCCGCGCCTATCGCCACCGCTGGTCTGACTGCCCGTATGCCGCCGGTCTGACCGCCGCTTTGTCGCCGGTCTGACTACCGGTAGATCGCCGGTTAAACCGCCGAAACCCGATAAACATAAAACGAAGAACTCTTAAAGTGGATGACGACTTGTCCGATCTCCCTCGGCGGCGGTCGAGGAGCCCCTGGCGGCGCGGCCTTCCATCATGGCGTGGCGCCCGGGCGGAGAGGCGGCCTTCGACCGCGGCGTGGTGGCCGGGCGGAGAGGCGGCCGGGCTGATCTCGACGCCGACGTGCAGACGACTTGGAGCGGCCTCTCCTCCTTCCTCCTCTGGCCTCCGCGTTGTGGCCCGAGCGGCGCCGCGCGGCAGTGGCGGGTGTCGGCGTCAGGCGGTTGTCTCTCTACTATGATTTTTTTCCCAACGCTATATCTCTCTCCTCTCCTCTCATATGCTTTTCACAGGCTTTTCAGCCAAGAACAGGTGACAAAGTTTGGCCACTCGGTCCTCACTTGGCTGTACATGTGGAAAACGTGGCACCGAAAATGGCATTGCTTCCTCTGAGGCTGAACGCCACCTAGGAGCATCGTGAACGCCCTTATGGGACGGAGGGAGTAGCTAGGTTTCCAAGACCCAACAACAGCTAGGCCAACACACAACCAGCCCAGCTGGTCCATATCCAGTAGTAACAGAACTAGAAGAAGAAGAAGAAGGCCCACGAGGATATCTCGGCCCAAAACTACGATCCTTTTATTTTCCTGATAAAAAAAGTCGGGCTTCAGGCCCAGCAACAGCAAGCGAAGCGTATGCACCCAGTATTATTCGACGGTTTCACTTCTCCGTATGCATCGTCACTGGACTAGATTCGATTCCATGGGAGTTACTGCCGCTAAAAGGGGAAAAGAAAACAACATTTCTGACTATCAAATCATGGAGGTTAGAATTCTCATCCAAATCCTTTTGGTTCTACTGTGCTTTGCATCTATATATCTTGTCTATTTGAAATATTTTAGTGTACACGACTTTATTTCTCCATCTTTGATGTTCCCCCTTCGATTGGAGTGATATCTTGTCTATTTCAAGTACTTAATGTACATTGTCTTTATTTCTCCATCTTGATGTTCCCCGTCCATTTTAGTTATATCCGACTATGTTCAATGAAATACCATGAAGGTTTTTATCTCATTTCTCTGCCTGCCCATATTATACTATTGCTCATTAATGCACTTGACAGTGCAATGCCAAAGGGTACGTGGTTTCAACCTCAAGATCCCGTGTTTAATCCCAACATGCTCACAATTTCTTCTTAAAAAAAGAATTGGAGGGATGTCTCTCCCTCCAAATCTCGTTTTTTTTCTTTCTCATTACATTAATCAGACGCCTGCTTAGTTCATAATTAAGTGTCCCAGATACCACTTTTAAGTTTTTTTCTCACCATTCATTTAGTCATGGTAGTGGTATGTGTATTCTTTTGTTTTTATACTTTAGGTAAATTGGATATTTTTTTCATTCTCAGAATTAAAGTTGATTTTCCAGCAATGCAGATTTTGCAGAGTTAAATTCTTCAACAACCAGCCTTTGCCAGCCTCCAGAGTCCACACAACACTTTGAGGAAGAAGAAGAGGTAGATTACAGATTTGATCAGTTAGGAGGAACATACATCCAGTCAGCCCAATGATGCCTCCGAAGTTGCACAACACCAACATAAGGTAATTTCGCCTGCTTCATTTTTTTTCATGTATGATATGACATTATTTGAAATGAGACTATCAACAATGGCAAAAAAACATAGCTCCTGTTATTCAGCATGCTTTATTCTTGAAAGCTCATGTATAAGCGTCTTATTTGTAACGAGTAATTGCGTTGGGGCGTTGCAAGAATTGATGCATAATTTGAGTCCATTTTGTCATCAAGTCATGTTGATTGCTCCTCTGTTAGCTGTGCACTCTGTTTTCAGTCACATTCACATGCACTCCTGCTATGCCTATCATTGCACATCGTGCTGTTTTTGCTTGCTTATTAGCAGTACTCATCATAGTAGGCTAGAAAACCCTTGTTGCATATCTATGTATCTGTAAAAACAGAAAAAGAATCTGAACTTTGGTCTGATTGATTAGGACTACAGGAGGCAACAAAACAAAGCCCAAGCAGGAGAACCACTCATTCTTGCAGAGCAGAGTTGTGTTTTCAGGGGACACCATTTCTTAATTTGTTCCGTCAACAACAGCGGCAGGTTTCGATGAAGGATAGCTCATTCTTTTGCATGATAATGAAACAATCTGTATTTTGTCAGTCCAGTGGCTGCTTATGCTTAGCAGCAGTGGTTTCGTGTAGATGAAGCTCAAGGCAGCAGCGGTTGTGAGTTGTGACTTTGGCAAAGGAAAACTGTACCCTCAAGTCATGGGAGCTGGTTGGAATGAATCAGGGTTAGTTGAAAGAAACATTTCTCTGGGCTTCATCATCAGGCTCACTGCCATGATTTTTAGGTACGAAATTAGTTGGGAGATACCTGTCCATTGTATGGGAATTCTCTTTGTGTACACTTCAATTTTTGTATCAGGCTTGTCTCTAATTTGTGATGATAATTAATCACATGTCGCCACATTGCGTAGGGTTGTACTGAACCCTACCTTATGTATGATTGTATTGTATTGTTGGTGTCAAAGGATTTGATTTAATTAGTATTTGGGGTGATTCTTCTTCTGTCGTTCCAACTGCCACCTTACCTGAATTGCCTTCTCAAGCTCGAACAGAAATTCAATTGGGTAGCATAATTGAGGATTGAATATTGTCACTGAGTATTTTGTACATTCTCCAATCATCTCTCTTTTGATTGTAAGAGATTGCTCTGGTTCAGTCAGGGGTATATTTAAGTTGCTCCTTGTTTTGATGTGATCACAACTTGTTCTGGGAGATCATAAAAACGCATGACAGCAAACAAGAGAACAGAATACTGCCTGAATGTTCAAAGACAGAATTCGCGCGTAAAGGGAGGAGATGGAGAAAAAAAAGTTAAACAGAAAGATAAAAGGGAAGCATAAAGATGATCTTTATTTTTTTAAAAAAGAAAATAAAAGGAGAGGAAACGGAAAGGAAGCAGAAGGGGCCATTAGAGCCATCATCATGCAGAAGTAAGAACCTCCATAACTTTAAAGGTGGATGGAGAAAAGGACCTTCCCATTAGTTTCAGCCTGCAGAGTTGCTGTCATGAAATTCTCATCCATTATCTAAAAAATGAAAATTCTCATCAGTATAGAATCTTTGCAGTTAGGGAGGAACAATAACAAATGGTTCATGGTAGCACCTATCATGTATCAAAGTTTATTTCTTGTTTGCTACCATGAACAATTTACTTAATTTATTTACTATCAATGTTTCCAAAAAGGTTTAGCCTCATCATCTCACCAAATTTACTTTATTTACTAACAAAATGTTCAGAGAAAACCGCGCGGCTTCATCAGCTCAGCTGGTGGGATGGCCACCGGTGCGCACATTCCGCAAGAACCTGTCCACCCCAAAACCTGCAGATGCAGATGACCTGATGAACAAGATGAAGCCCTGCTCTGATGAAGGCCATGGCTCCAGAGATGCAGCCCAAGAGAGGAGGCCATCATCAACCATGTTTGTGAAGGTGAACCTGGAGGGCTACGCTGTCGGAAGGAAGATCGACCTGAAGGCGCACCGCAGCTACGACTCGCTGTCCCAGGCTCTGCAGAGCATGTTCCATGGCTTCTTGTCAGGTCAAGACCTTTGAGTATTGGATTGGGAGTGAGCTCCATAGTATTTCTTGCTCAGGTGACTGATCTTGATGTTTGGTTTCAGATGGCATTGCAACTAGAGACAATGAGCTGCAGCGGATGGAGGAGGGCAGCAAGAAGAGGTATGTTCTTGTGTATGAGGATAATGAGGGAGACCGCATGCTCGTCGGCGACGTCCCATGGGAGTACGTTTGTTTGCTTTGAGAAACCTCTCATTTCTGACATTTTTTTCCTTTTATCCAACGAAGAAGATGACATGAAGAGCTGAAAACTGATTGATCGATCTTGCAAATTTTATATATGCAAGCTGTTCATTGCTTCAGTGAAGAGGCTCTACATTGCTCAGGATCCTAGAGTTCATGGGAAGCTACGATAATAGCAATGGTGTGTACCCAGGAATGAGCCACACCTCCACTGCAAGAAATAGTTAATATGTTTGGAGCAGAACATGTACTAATAGGACACAAAAATTAACTGATTGATTTTGCAGTTGCAAGCTGATCCTGAAAGCCTGAACTGCAACCGAGGATGAGAAAGATCGATTGCTGTTTTTATCATGAGCAGATGCAAGGAAATATATGGCATAGGATGACAGGAGCATCATATTCAGAGAGACGAAGCAGCAATATGTGCTAGTGTTTAGCTGACATGCTGTCCCTGTTCGCTTAATTAGTAGAATGATTAATTTTGCCTTGGTGTGCTTGAGGGAGCTAGTGCTTATACTAGACTATACTAACCCCCTCTAAAAAAAACAACAAAAAAATAGACTTCTAGTGCGGTTAATGTAGAAAGTTTTGGTTGTGTATATATTTTTTGACCTGTTGTACTATAATTGAACTGATGGTGCATTAGCTATTGCTTGTTAATTAGCTTGTACTATGTGTGTGGGTGGATGTAAATGACACTGGGTGCAATAAACTAGTACTCTTGGGTTCACTACATCTGTGATTTTTCGTTTTGAACCTGACATTATTTGTAAATTCATTTGATCCTTGGACAATGTTTCATGAGGTTGGGAACTCAATCCCTCCGCATGAAAAACGGAGCAGTCCATTCTCACGTGATTAATTAAGTATTAGCTTTTTTTTTCAAAAATGGATCAATATGATTTTTTAAGCAACTTTTGTATAGAAACTTTTTTTTAAAAAAAAACACCGTTTAACAGTTTCAAAGCGTGCGCACGGAAAACGAAGCGAGAGAGTTGGAGTCGGGAGATCTGAACACACCCTTTGTTGCTAATTTCAATCTTCAAATTACCAAAATTTGATAGCGTTGGATGATATCTTTCGAAAAATTTGGTACTTCCTCCGTTTCAGACTGTAAGTCATTCTAGCATTTTCCACATTCATATTGATGTTAATATGGACATGGGAAATACTAGAATGACTTACATTGTAAAACGGAGGGAGTAGTGTTTTTGTGAGAGGAAAGTTTCGAAACTAGGATGTTATTTATATCCTATATCCTACTCCCTCTGTTTCAAAATATTTGACACCGTTGACTTTTTAGCACATGTTTAACCGTTCGTCTTATTAAAAAAATTTTGTGAAATATGTAAAACTATATGTTTATATAAATTTATATTTAACAATGAATCAAATGATATGAAAAGAATAAATAATTACTTAAATTTTTTGAATAAGACGAATGGTTAAACACGTACTTAAAAAAGTCAACGGTGTCAAACATTTTAAAACGGAGTAGGAAGTACAATATAATTCACCAACTTCCTTCATCCTTGATACGGAGTACTTGGTGGATCGGTCAGGATCGTCTCGCTTAGATCCAACGTCCCAGATTATCCCCACCTCTCCACGGCTCCACCTTCCCGCATCCCCCTCTCTCTCTCTCTCTCTCATCACGCCGCTGCGCTACCTCCCCTAACCCTGAAAAATATAATATAGGTTTGATGGTAGGCTCTTCATTTAAAGTTTTAGGGTTGTTTTTCTTACCATACATTTTTGGATGGATGTATCCAAACTGGATGTTTTTTTTTTGCTATAAATTTATTTTTGTTTTTTTTTCGCTGCTCGGCGTGTGTACGTAGCTAAAATTAGCATACTGCATTTAGGAGTCAAGCAGTTTTTTTAACTTTTCATGATTTGGTTTCATTTCATTTAGGTGGATAGTATGCTAAATTTGTTCCAGTTCAAAATTCTACATTTATGCTCGCAACAGAATGGATCACTGATACATTAATTTATATATTTGCAGAACGATCCTTTTCTGTCAAGGAAGTGGGGGGGGGAGAAAATGGACATTTAGCCATGTTCAAAAAGCGGTTTCGCTAGATTGCCATTCCGAAAACACGTTTCGTTAAAATGCCAATATGAAACGCGTGCTCACCGCCACTTTGCCATTTTGGCCATTTTGTGCATTTTCGAAATCATTTTTCACTGAAATGCTTTCCCTGGACCAAAATACCCCTGACGCGGGCCCCACCTGTCATACTCTCCCACCTCTCTTTTTCCCCTTCTTCCCCTCTTCCTCTCTCTCTCTCGGACGCCATCGGAGCGGCAGTGGCCGGGAGGCGGGCAGTGGTCGGCGGCCAGCGGCTGGCGTCGACCAAGTGAGCGAGCGCCCTGACGTCTCACCGGCCATGGCGACCACGCCGGCAGCGACAGTCGCGGTGACCCAGCGGCGCGAGCTGACGAACTTGGCGGCAACGGTGGCGGCGCACGTGCTCGTCTTCCTGGCGTCGGGGCAGGGCCACATCAACTGCATGATGCACTTCGCCATGGGCGACATCGTGGAGCTCCTGGAGTCGCTGGGGACCAACGGCAGCCTTGTGAAAGGGGATTGATGCGGCTGGGGCAGGGGCGGTGTGACCATCCTCGACGGTGGCAAGGATAAGGTGGTCGGCGAGGACAGCGAGCGCCTGAAGGGAGCACGATAAGCCGCCGGCGACGTCGTGCCACCACCTCGCCGAGCTCCGCATAAAGCACGTGCACTCCGCGGTCGCCTTCTCCGCGCGCTGCGCCGCACCCGGCGGCGATGCTTCCTCCTGCCCTCGTTCCCGCACAAGAAGATGCCTCCTTCTGCTCCGGTGGTCGGCGGGACAAGGGCGGTGGCCGCGGCGGAGGCGGTGAGGGTGGGAACATGTTTGCGTTCTTGGAGGACGCGGCGAGGACACCGACGACACCCACGGGTCCAGCGGCAGCAGCACCTTGTCGTTCTTGGTGCCTCCCTAGGGGCCTTCTCGTTCTTCACCTCGCCGAAGCAAGCGGTGACGACCACGGGCACCAATGCCAGCGGAGGCTGTGGTCTCTCCCTTGCCTTCCCTGATGCCAGCGAGCACGGGCTCCACCGACACCAGCGGCTTCTCCTCCTTCCCTTCGCCCTCACCCAACAGGGGTAATTCCGTCTCATCACCCGACATTCTAGTGAAAATGATTTCAAAAATACACAAAATGGCCAAAATGGCAAAGTGGCTATGAGTGCACGCTTCATATTGGCATTTTAGCAAAACGTATTTTCGGGATGGCATTAGCGAAACCGCTTTTTGAAAGTGGCTAAATGTCCATTTTCTCGGGGGAGGGGGGGGAACTACTGTTGCAACCATCAACTAAAATTATACTGCCACCCATCGCGCAACCCTCAACTTCCACCACCAGATTTGCGCCACCGATGCGCCGCTGCCTCTTCCATCAGCGCGCAGCCACCTCCTCCACCTTGAGCGCCACCACTGCCAAGCCGTATCCCGTCCGCCGCCAATAGGTACAACAACCCTACTCCCCCAAACCTCCCCCTTCTCCTCTTTCCCCATACTATGGCAACATATAAGTATTTTTTGGCCTAATACCCAGGGAGCCCTAATGGGCGATTGATCGCCCGCTAATGGGGGTAGCGATCAGATTCTCTACCCCCCTCCCCCCTCCCTCCTTTGTTTCCTTTTTTGACACCGTATTACTTTCCTATTTTAGTAAATTTATACACCTAAAGTTTATACACCTTAAGTTTACACATGTGAAGTTTGGAGACCCAAAGTTTATAAGTCAAAAGTTTATATATCCGATTCAAATTTGAATTTGAATTCAAATATTTTTTTATATATAGTATTTCTATACATCTAAAGTTTATAGACCTAAAGTTTATAAGTCAAAAGTTTATATATACGATTCAAATTTAAATTTGAATTATATCCGATTTAAATTTGAATTTGAATTTAAATATCTGATTCAAATTTGAATTCAAATATTTTTCATATATAATATTTCTATACATCTAAATTTTATACACCTAAAGTTTATAGACCTAAAGTTTATAGACCTAACGTTTATATACCCGATTTAAATTTGAATTTGAATTATATTTAAATTCAAATATTATATATATATAGTATTTCTATACATCTAAAGTTTATACAGCTAAAGTTTATAGATCCAAAGTTTATAAGTCAAAAGTTTACATGCCTAATTTAAATTTGAATTTGAATTCAAATTTTTTATATATAGTATTTCTATACATAAATTTTTCTAACTTTTGTTTTTTAAAAAATTTTGTGTGGTGTACTATAGTAGAAAGAGAATAAGGGGAGGAGGAAGGGGGGGGGGGGGGGGAGAGGAGGGAGGAGTATATACTGTAGGAGAGGTGCCGGGGGGGGGGGGGGGGGGGGGGGGTGATCGCTGGGCCGCCCAACAGGATTTCCGTGATACTATGGCAGCTTACGCATAGACTCACTAGAGGCCAATAAATTTGCCAATTTTTAGATTTCTATGCAGCCACTTCTCGTCTCCAGCCACGCGTGGTCCTTCACCTCCCTGTGCGAGGGCGCCAGGATAGGAAGGAGAAGGTACCCTACTTTCAACCCTAGAAAAATAATTTCGTTTTCGAAATCTCAGGAATTGGATCGATGAATAAGATTGGGAGCGGCGAGCGAGTGATGATGATGCTGTAGTCCAGTTCCAACCTCGAATTATCCCATTTTTTCTCCGTATTCTGTCCCAAAACGCCAAAATCCATGGTCCGAATCACCTAACCAGCCTTTGGTTTGTCTGGTCGATCCCTCGAGGTTCATCCTCCTCTTGCTCCCCACTATCGAGCTTTCTGGAAATCCATCCCGACTTTGATTTTTTTTTCTTTCTCTGATGATGCTGTTGGTGATTCCTTGGATTGGTTGAGAGTTATTCTGTTCTGGTCTGAATCCTAATCTCCCTGCAATCCAATCCGTACAGTTCGTTGCGGGTCAGTCCAATTCCTGCGTTACAGAGCATTATTTGGAGTTAATTTCCAAGAAAAAATTTGGGGGAAGTTAGATCCACCCCCCATCCTCTCCCCTTCTTGGTTTGCTTATACTACTCACCTAAGGTTTACTTAGTATTACTCATGGAATCCACTCTACTTGTTAAAAAATTGCAGTGTGTACTTCTCTGCTGGCCTGTGTGGTGAGGTGATAGCTAGACTAATAGGAAGATGAAGCGCAAGCGTGGGCGTAAGATGGGCAAGAAGGGCAAGTCGAAAGCTTCCACCACAGCGGATGCTTCTCCAATGTCCCTGTCCAGCCCGAGCACCGTGGATGCTTCCTCAAAATCCCCCTCCAGCCCAAGCACAGAGGAGAACGGCACCAGCCCAGCGCATCATCAGGCAGATAATGCGCCTGTTATTGCTCCGCCACCAGTGCCTGAACCGGCACCTCCTGAGCCGGAGAAGCCAGCCGTGTCTACTGACGTACAGAATGCTAAGCCAAAAGTCTATAGCCGAGTCAGGTTGAAGTTCAAATCTGCCAAAGTGTTGGAGACGCACCAGGGTCCTTCAGAAGCAAAAGCACCTGTTGATGGTGGTGGTGGTAAACCTGCAAGTGCTGCGCCTGAAGCGAGCAAAGAAGTTGTTGCGGAGAAGGCTATTGTATCACCAGACGGACAGAAAGATGCGCAGGCAGCAGAATTGAGTGGTTCTGATAAGGATAAGGTGGCAAGAAAAGTAGCAAGCATAAA